TGTAGTCTGGGCGCCGAGCGCCAGATAGGATATCAACTCTGGTTCTTCGTTGATGATGTATGGGACTACTTCAGCATTGTCAATTATGAACTCTTGGTGTGTTCTTATTTGGTGTATCTCGTGAGGCAATTCTGCTGTTGGTTCGAGGTCAAGGCTATCTGGACTCGTATTTATGATGCTGTTTGATTGCTGGAGTTCGCTATTGCTCATCTTCCTTGCAGAATTATAATGTGACCCTCAGCCAAAAGTCGTTTGTATTTCAATTCTACACAACATATTTTTTTTTCCACAATATTTTGATTTTTGATTTTTTATATTTTTTTGCGTTGGGGCTGCCTGGAACCCTGCCCAGGTGTCATGCCCGGCCAGGCACCCGGGCTTGCACCCAGGCAGAAGTTGGGTGCCCGGACGCCCGGAAAAACAGCTTAGAAAAAATCTGAAAAAACAAAATGGTATGCAGAAAGATAAACTGAATAATTTTTACTTCTATTTTTTTTAAGTAAGATACATTCTTGTCTCAATTTCACCTCACACTACCTACCTACAACTACTCCTAATTAGCCTTAGGGTCACATCGAAGTTCTTTACCAATTTTAAAATATGAAGGGCATTCCACGATGCAGACCCCAAATTCGAATCTCAGGGTCAAAGCCTCAGGCCGAGAGGGGCCAAGTCGGCCAGTTTCAGAAACGCTAAGTCGGGTGCCACAGAGGTCAAGTCCAACAGGTGCCCGGTCAACAGTCACATCCCAAAGGCAAAATTCACATCCAATTGGCAAAAGTCACATCTCACGGTGAAAGGTCATATCCCACAGGCAAAGGGCACTTCCCCAGGCAAAAGTCGTGTCCCACAGGCAAAAGTCACGTCTCGAAGTCAAAGAACATATTCTACAGGCAAAGGTCATGTCTCATAGGCAAAGAGGCATATCCCACAGATGCAACGTCGTGACTCACGTGCCCAAGCAGCAGCACACCAAGGGGAAATTCAGGGAGGTACCAGGCCTCAACATCCTGCGCTTATCTGGACTTCGTGTCTCTGGTCTCCAGTGTGGACTTCGTGTGATCTCTCATTGTGTGTGTGTGTTCAAGGTGACGAGCAGTGAGGCTCAATGCAAATATAAAATATATTAATATAATATATAAATATTTTTTACTTTTTTTAAGTTTTTTAAAGTTTTTTTAATTTTTTATTTTGGCCTGGCCGGGGAAGTAGTCCCGGGCCACTCTGGGAGCCTAGAAAAAAACGAAAAAAAAAAAAAAAAAGAAACAAAAAGAAATGGATGTTTGATGATGTGCTTGATGTCAGCAGGGGTGGGGGAGACAGGAAACCCCTATTTTGGGGCATGCGGTGCATACTGCATGAGCGCCACATGTGCAGCAGTTAGGTGTAAAATGAGTTTTTGCCTGTGGAGGCTGTGGTCCTTTACAATTTCCTTAGTGGAGTGCTGCGGGGTGATACCACCCTTGGCCCCTTTGTTGGGGGGGGGTGGAGGACCCCTATTTTCGGCCATGTGGTGGATGCTGTTGGGCCCGGTGTGGGCACACGACATGCACCTCAAGTATGCGTAAAACGAGTTTTTGGCTCTGCATGATGAAAATGACATGTGATTACGTCCTTGATGTGGGCCGGGGGGGGGGGCGGGGGGAGGAACCCTATTTTGGGGCATGCGGTGCATGCTGTGTGAGTGCAGCATGTGGCGTGTGCCAGATGGGCGGATGTGCAGCAAGTAGGTGTAAACCGAGTTTTCGGCTGCACATGACGAAAAGCATGTGTGATTACCTGTTTGATCAACTTTGGTGTCAGCGAGTGTGAAGGAGCATCAATTGGATTGCGTACTGCATGATTCTAACAGCAAAGCTAACTTAGCTAAGTGAGAGTGTGAAAGAAAGCCACAAGTGAAACTTTTGTCAAAGAACATGTAAAACAATTTGTAAAACTGCGATAGAAGCACTTGTCCTGTGACCTGTGACTCCACCATGTGCAGGGAAATTTGAAGTTCCAAGCCAAATTTCAGAAGAAAATAGCAAATAAACTTATGTGGCCAGGTCTGGTGTGCGGGCTCGCTAACCGTGCCATAGATTTATATCTCCAGGGTTGTGAACCTTGTGATCCCTCAGTTCACAGGTAATCTGAATATGCAGATACTGTACATGGGATGTAGCGAAACAGAAATTCAGATGCAATTGTTGAAATACAGACTCAAGTTCGGCTCCGGATGCAATCAGCTGAACAGAATAAAATACCTGGGGGCCTGGGCCAGAGAGCTTAAAGAAACAGCAAGGCAGATGTCCCTCCAGCTAGTCGCACAGTTGTGTCTGTCTCTTATACACATCTAGATGTGTATAAGAGACAGGGCCTGGGCCAGAGAGCTTAAAGAAACAGCAAGGCAGATGTCCCTCCAGCTAGTCGCACAGTTGTGTGTGTGAATGTCGGTCTTTTTTACCCGGCATTCAGCTTCAGCCTGAGTAATCATCAGGAAAGTATGGAGCTAGTGAAGCGTGTTTGATACGATACCAAATCTTACAAACATTCGACATCTGTCTCTTATACACATCTAGATGTGTATAAGAGACAGGATGCAATCAGCTGAACAGAATAAAATACCTGGGGGCCTGGGCCAGAGAGCTTAAAGAAACAGCAAGGCAGATGTCCCTCCAGCTAGTTGCACAGTTGTGTGTGTGAATGTCGGTCT